GCTGCCCTGCCGCCAGCCCCCGCTGCAGTTTTGCCCTGCAGCTCGTAGGAGACGCCCAGTCAATGCGTTTCACCCAGGCCAGAGCCGCGAAGCGCTCAGGCAGCGGTGAAAGAAAAAAAAAACCGAAGGAAACTGGTCGCTGTTAGCGAAAGGCGACCAAAAAAAAAAAAAAAAAAAAAAAAAAAAAATTTGGGATCACCCTCTGGGGTGTTTCCGCTTTAGGAGCGAAGGGGTGCTATGGGAAGATAGTTCCCCGTAAGACTATCGGCTTTGGTGATTTGCCCTAGAAATTCAGCAATCTTGGAAAAGCGTGGCAGCAATGGAGAAAAAAATGCGACACTGGTGAAGGGACCCAGCAGTGAGGGATTTCACCGTCGTAAAGGATAACGGAGATGGCAGTGCTAACGTACATCATTCAAAACCAGGTTTGGGATGCCTCTGTCACCCGCCCTTTTAACAAAGCCTTTCTCCAGAGGGTTTTTTAATGCATTGGGCGTCAGGTCCCAGCACCCCTGACTTCTCCTGTGGAGGCAACGACACGCTGAAATGCCGTCACAAAAAAGTGGGCACACCGCATTTACTGTTCTTGGTATTTCTAAGATAAAAATTAAACAGACCATATTAATTTAAACAAACCTCATTCCAGACTACATCATCCATACAAAGGCATACAGAAGGGCACAAGCCCCAGAAAAACAAGGCAAAAAAAGAAAAGAAAAACCCTTTCAGATCCTCTTTTACAATTGCTTAGCTTTTCTTTCCCTTCGGCTCTGACCTGAGTCGCACCTATGACCACGCAACTGAACTACACAAAACGCAAAGACGCCTCCAGGGATGTCACCTTTGGACTCCATTTTCTCACTCAGACACTACAAAAAAAACCCCAAAACGCCCTGAAAGTCTCCTGCACGCACCCGGCTCTAAGGTCCTTGCTTTGCTGAGGGAGCAGCGTGCCCCAGGCGAGCGGGAGCCTGCAAGCGCTCCTGGTGTCCGGCTGTCTCCCATCTCCAGCTGGGTGTGATACTGGTGGGAGGGTCGGCATCGGCAGCCTCAGGGAAGGAGTCCCGTGTATGTATGTATATCTGCTCTGTGCAACAAGCCACACGTTTCCCAGATGCGGTGCTGCTCCCCGCCGGTGCGAATCACCCAGCACTCACAGGGAAAGCCCTCTGAGATGATGAAGTTTGGGCTCTCGCAGGCCACCCAGCCCCAGTCTTTCCCCTGCTGTCACTGGGATGGACAGACGTGCCAGGTATCTGTGGGGTGCAGGCAGCTGCCCAGAGCAGCCGGGACAAAACCACTGCCACCTCCCCGAGTGCTGCCAACCACCTCTCAGCCAAACATGGTCTGCAGTCACCGCTGACCAGGCTGGGGCTGAAACAGCAACCCAAAGCAGGGCAAGGCTTATTCCCGACCCCCAGATGCCGGAGCAAGACGCATCCCTCGGAGGGATGCATGGCTTTAACATCGCTGAAAACACGCAGCATTTCAGGGGCAGGAGGGCATTTGCCTTTGGTGCAGGGGTGCTCCCAGTCACACAAATGTGGGCTTCAGATCTTCTTTAAAATTCACCACAGGCTGGAGGCCACTGTGGTGCTCTGTCCGGTGGCCCGCATGCCCACTGGGCTCTGTGTCCGTGTCTGTGCTACTGCTGCCCAGGGAGCCGCGCGGGCTCTGGAAGCAGACCTCGCAGCAGGGCCGGTTGCAGCCGTGAAACATCTCCTCGGAGCTGCTGCTGCTGGAGTCGGAGTCCGGGTAATAGTACAACGAGTGCAGGGAGGGCTCGGCGGGTCCCCTCAGGGCGCCC